TACCTGTTTCCCCAAACCCTCCTAAAACCACCACTGTCTTCAGCAAATCAGCGCAACTCCCAAATCCTTGCTTTGTTGAGCTGTAAGCCGAAGCACCGCGCAGTGATATCTTCAGCGATTTGTAAATGGCGCTGTTCAATACCGGCAAATCCGGTAACTGCGCGAGATAATGAAGTTTTAATCAAGCTCACGTACAAACAATGGCCGGGCTGACGACTGTTGGTTAACCATTAATTAAGATGGCCTCTCCATCGGCATCCGTTTAGTCTAGTTAATCTTTCTACCATACCGTCTTCGGCGCCATCTTGTTCGTTCGACAGCACCCACAGTTAAAATCGGATTAAATCCAGTCAGACCGTGTCAATATATTGAATTATCCTCATCCTCATTCGACGCAACTATTAACACTGTAACAAACCCAGCCTGACTGTTCCCAACGCCATTTACGTTCATGGCGTTCTCTGGTCGATTTATTTTTGTTTTCGCACGTCATTGTTTAGTTGTTAGTTTTATTTTGCCTCCATTTCTTTCTCTTTTTTCCATTATTTCGTTTTATTCAATTTACTTTAAGTCGTGCTATTAAGAGCCTTTGTTTCTTTTCTTTCCAATTTTGCGTTTTTTTTTTCTAATGCAGCCGCCTCTTCTCAGTCTTTTTTTTTAATATTTTTCTATTCTTTTTTTTAACCTGAACTTACTCTCTTTCTTTTGACTTTCATTTTCTTTTTATTCTCTCTTTATCCTATTTCATTATATTTGTACTCTTTTTATTAAATCTATTATTTTTCTTTCTTTTTTTTTCTTTCTTGCTATTACTTTTCTTTGTCCATTTATATTATCTCCCTTTCTCTTATCTTCAATTCTTTCTTTCTTTTCTCGACACTTTTTACTTTGTTTTTTTTTTATTATTTTTATTTTCTCTCTTTCTCCGTGCTATTACTTTTTCATCCATTTTCATCCTTTGCTTTCGTTTTTTTCCTCTCCCTCTCATTTGCAATTCTTTCTTTCTAGCTCGTGTTCCTTTTCTTTTTTGGTTCCCCCTCCCTCTTTCTCATTCTCTATTTTACAATATACTTTTTCTTGCTTTTTTTCTTTTTCTCTATACTTTTACTTTCTTTCCTTAGTCCTTTTCTTAAACCATATATTTCTTACTTTGTCACAAACCAAAGATGCTCTCTCTTCCCCCTTTGTCGTTACTTAACTCCTTTCTCTTTCTCTTTTACTTCTTCTCTTCCTATCAACATTCTCAGACTTCTTTCCTATTATTGTTGCCCTCATGTCATCCCATTTAATTTACCCTGTGCCTGTTAACAGCACCATTGCCGATTAATTATTGAAACTCTATTACAATACCTCCTCGCTTATGAGCCGTGACATTGATCTGCTGAGCGCCATTTTGTTCGGCCATCTTTTCCTTGTTTTCTCTTTCATAAGATCATCTTTCTTCTCTATTCTTTCCTTCGTCTACAGTTCATTCATAGTAAGGAAAAAGTAAAAGAAACCATAACATTCTGATATAGATTTATGTTACTTATGCTGTATCTGCTTGTTCTAATTTTCTTGAGAAAGGCATGAATCTACTCTCCACTGTACTGTGGCTTATCACTAGATATATTTCACTTCAAAGCATCATTGGCATGCTAATAAGCTTCAAAAGAAGAAAAATGGGTGAATGAACAGTTGCGAAAACCACTCCTCCATAGCTTCCTTACTACAATTATAACAGAACCCCCTATTACTAACCAGCCACTGACTCACTGGATGAGTTTATTGAACGAGAATGTGATCTTCAGACATACATCACTCTGACCCTTAAACTTGTCATAACGAACAAATTAAGGGATTCTATACAGAGATCACTAAATGCAATGTACACCTGAAGAGGGTCGAAGAACGCATCAGCCAAAAGGTAGGTATTCTAAATAACAAAGATAAGGATAGTAACCGGAATACGTCATAGAATAATGGCATTAAGGTTTATATTCATATAAATGTTCGAAATATTTGCATAAAAAAACAACATAGTTTACAAATTCAAGTGCCCTTTGGGAGATTGTATCTCCAATGTATTAAATAGTATTTATGTTGGTCACACCACAAACTCACTTTCACGACGCTTGACTCTACCTTTGAATAATAACTCTAACATTTTTAGGCATTTAAAACAACATGCTTGGCCGTGTACACAATTCCGGAAAATCCACGTTAAAAACACAACTATACTTAAACATGAAAACAATAAACAAAAACTAAAAATTCTTGAAGCTATATACATAAGACAGTTGAAACCTAACCTGAACAAAATAAACTATGAAATCTCCACAAATATTCTTAAATGCCTATAATTGATAACAGAAGCCATACTTCTTGTTTTCACTCTCGCGTGTGACATCATGAGCTGCGATGCGATTTTCGCTTCCGCGTCTCGTATACACGAGTTTGTCGTTGCTTTGAAATTTTTCAAGCAACAAAAACAGACTATCATTATTGTTTCGTCCATTTTATTGTTTGATATATTAAAATGTAATTGTCATCTTTGATAATGGCTTATGTAAGCCGAAAGCTTAGATAGGATTAAAACATGTATCAATATGGTGATTTCCTTTGGTCTTTCAATGATAATGTTATTAAGTTTATCAGACAATATGAAAGTAACTTACTTAAAATAAATAGACAAAACTTGTCTATATTATTTAATGAAACATGCATCAATGAATATATATATATATATATATATATATATATATATATATATATGCATACCAACATGGACATTTACCAAGCTTAGCTTAGCCTGACACAAGGTCAAGGAATTTAGAGTTACACCAACTTTAAAAGTAAGGAGAACGTTGCTGTTTTGAAATTCGGCATATAAAAAATCCTGGGGTATTTTTGGGTGGGGTTGCTGGGACCAAACGCTAATATGGGCAAAACTAGCTCAGCCATAGAGCAGGGCCCCGTGCGTATACCTAGAGTTATGCAAGTACCCAATATATAGTTAACAGATTGAACTACTTTTGAAAGCACAGGGCTAATAAATTTTGAATTTTCTTACGCTTTTAGAATCCCCCCCCTTTTTTTTTAGATAAACTAGACAGACTTTGTGCGAGTTGCCGTAACAGTTATCGATGCAGAGAAAGGGTTCGGCTGTGTCGAATTCATGTTCTGTCCGAGTTTGTTGCGCTGACATTCACGCCAATGACTTTGGGAAAGTCATGAATCCATTTCTTTAAATACTAGGTTGGACTAGGGTCTCCAGCCCCCTGTGGTAGCCAGTGAAGGACAACCATTGATTCAAAGCCGTAGAGAAGGCAAGGGGGAAGTTACTCCACTATCTTTCCCAAGAAGTCATGGCAATTCACAGATAATGAATAAAGGAATATGTGAAGAGCCGTAATCGCTTACATCCTGAAGGGCCATGGCATTAATAAAAGCGGGAAATTATAAAAAAATTAAAATTTAAAGAAATGAAAAAGTTCATTATACATTTTATACTTTTTCTTTTTTTATTCCTGTAGTCTTTTCCCCATCCAGCTTTGGATTAAACAGAAGGGTAAATTGGACTCTCTCGCCCTGTATGGTAGCCAGTCTAGGAGAAGTAAAACTTTGAGTTTAAAACAGTGAAGTAGGCAATGCGAAACAGTACACTCTTCTTCCTAAGGGGTTATGACAATTCACATATAATAAGCAAAAGGAATCTGTGGAGAGTCGTGATCGCTTACATTGTGAAGTAACGTAGTATAAAAAATGGGTTACTCATAAAAGTCAGTTCAAAATTTAGCCGTGCTGGGTTCTCAAATGTTGCCCAATTCACTACTTGGTAGCTCAATCTGGCAACTTTGACTCATTCATATTAATGTGTATTCATGTAATCATGTGTTTTCACGTATATTTGCATTTACATGGATGCATATATTTTCTAAGCTTAGTTAAATCCAGAGAAGGGTCATTGATGGGTTAGAATAGGGGTTTCCAAATGGACTGTACTGCAACCTCCAAACACTCACTGTTGGGGGGGGTCGACGAAACATCCAGAGGGACCAGTAAAGAAAAGGGTTTGTTTTTTTTTTGTCTTCTTTTGCTCTCTTATTTCTTCTTTTAACTTTTTTTAAATTTATTCTTTCTTTGTTCTCTTATTTTATTTGGGCTTACGGCCAAACGCCGGAAGTTAAGCAACGTCGAAAATGATCAGTACCTAGATGGGTAACCGCCTGGGAATACCAGGTGCTGTAAACTGGAATGTGCGGGTGATGTAATGGATAACGGATCGGAATTGTAAATCGGAGAGCCGAGTTCCAATTCCGGTCGAATTCGTTTTATACACGTACGAGCAAATACCCCGTGGAAAGGTATGAATCTACGTTTTTTTCCAACACCGCCCACCCCACCACCACAAGCTATGGGTTAATCAGTAGGACTTGTATCAGTAAATAACTATCTACACCCCCAAATTGTTACAATCTGAAAAAAAATAGTTTTCTGGCTTTAAGTAACCTGCAAAAGGTTGATAAGCCGTAAAAAATAAATCTATCAAAAAACATATTTTCTTTCTTTTCTACTTTTGTTCATTTCTTTTTCGTCGTTCTTTCGTCTAACTGGTCTTTTTTATTTCTATTGTCTTCAATTGTATTTCTTTATTTTATACACGCAGACACGCATTCACATGCACGTGAGTATATATATATATATATATATATATATATATATATATATATATATATATATATATATATATATATATATATATATATATATATATATATATGTATATATATATATATATTTATATATATATATATATATATATATATATATATATATATATATATATATATATATATATATATATATATATATATATATATATATATATATATATATATACACACACACACATACACACATATTGACTACCGACGTGTCTCACCAGATTTTCTAACGTCAAATTTTCTCAGGCGTGCCCCTGTACAAGCCTGCCTGTCTTTCTATTAGTTGATCTTTGAATGCTCTTATTGCTTCTTCCTCTCTTCCTGCTCCACATTCTGCCCCACAATTCGTTGCTCACCCAGAGCGCAGTGTCTCCCCCGTCTGCGTCCCTCCCAGCTCTTTCCCGTTGGCTGTTGAGATTATGAAGAGGTCTTATGGATAAATCGAAACATGGCGCGTCGAGCGTGCGGCAAATTGGGAAAATCGTTTTCACAATGCGCCCCATTCCCTGGGAATTATAGTCTTTGTATCTCCTCAATTATGGGATGGCTCCCGCACCGGCCACAACGGGTTTTTAGAGATTGAAGAGTTCCACTGTGAAAACCGCAGTCACGGCAATTCCCACCGCAACAGAAACCACAGCGCACGTACCTCCCCGTTTTCCCAACTACCCCACCATCATTTTACCGCCCAAACTAACAAAAATCGTTTACAGGTTTATTTTATTTTATTTTCTTTCTGTCTTTTTTCTTCCCAACCCCGCACCTCACTATCCATTTTCTTTATCGCTTCTCTACTGCCCATTTTCATTCATTTTTCATTTCAATTTTCTTATATCTTTCTTTTTCCCTTAAGCTCTTTTTCCTTCTCTATTTTTTTTTTTTTAAGTTAGCCTTTATTTTGTATTTTAATTTCACGTTTCTTTCAGCATCATTTATTATTTCCTTCTTTTCTATTCTTTGCATTTTCTACTCCTCTCTTTTTCTTTGGGATTGTCTTTCTTTCTTCCTCTTTTTTCTATTCTTTACATTTTTCTTTCTTTCTTTCTTTCTTTCTTTATTTATTTATTTATCCTGCGTTTCTTGTTTCATTCTATAATTCTTTTCTACGTCCGTTTATCTCTTCCCACTTTTGTATTTTCCTCTGTCTTCTCATTTTTTTTCATCTACGGTGATTCTTTCTTTCTTTCTTTCTTTCTTTCTTCTTCTTCTGAGGAGGAGGAGGAGGGAGAAGAGTAGGGATTTTCTTTTTTTGTTCTTCGTTCGTTCTTTTTCCAACCTAATTCTTTTTTTCTACTTACTCTCTCTTTCTCTCCTGAAATATACGGTTAGGATTCCAGTGAACTGAGGCTAACAACGACGGTTTTCATCTGACCATCAAAGTTAAGCATCACCAAATCTGCACATTGCTTACATGAGTGGCCGCTTAAGTAACTTGTTACATTGTGCCAAACTATGTAAAGTTTTATATATACATGTGTGTGTGTGTGCGCGAGCGTGTGTGTGTGTTTATGTATGTGTGTGTGCATTTATATATATTTCTGTGTGTATTTATGTATATGTGTATATGTGTGTATATATTTATGCATATATATGTGTGTGTATATATATAAATGTATGTTTGTTTTCGTATATATATATATATGTGTGTGTTTGTGTGTGTATGTCTGTGTGCATGTCTTCTCTCTTTTTCTATTCCAAAATAAGTATTATCCTTTTCCTCTCTCTCTCACACACACACACACACACACACACACACACACACTCGCACACACACACACAAACACACGCATACGCACACATTTCTGGTCCTTCTCTCATTTTCTTTCTTTTTCTTTCTTTCTTTGACATCTTTTTTTCATATACTATTCCTTTTTCTTTCATTCATTCATTGATTCTTTGTTTCTTTCTTTGTTTTTTTTCTTTCTTTTTTGTTTCTGTGTTTCCTTCTTTGTTTCTTTCCTTGTTTGTTTGTTTCTTTCTTTCTCTCTTTCTTTCTAAGCTCAAACGATGATGCATTGCACTAATCTTACAAATGTGCATGTTCTGCCTTCTTTCAAAATCAGTATTCGAGGTCCTAGCCTTTACCGCTTTACAGCCATATCCCATTGAAACACTGGTTCTCGTACAGTCAACAAAGTTAAGCAACGCCTTGCTTGGTAAGTACCTAGATGAATGACCACTTGGAACTACCAGGTTCTATAACCTTGGATGTGCGCATGGTGTAAGCTCTTTTTCCTTCACTATTTTTCTTGTATTTTTTTTTTAAGTTAGCCTTTATTTTAATTTCATGTTTCTTTCAGCTTCTTTCCATTACACCCCCCTCTAAATATTCACCAGCACTATACCCCCCTCCCATAACTGACTCTTGTTTGACCAAACAATCTCATTATACTCTCTATCTCCTCTTGCTACAACTCAACTACAGGAACGGCCACCACCAAGCAACCTCCTATCTCAGACTCTTTTCTTTTAAGCGGACAGAATCGGGGATGCCTTTAGGGTCGAACAACTCATAGCGAATAAAAGAAAGATAATAACATAGATGAATATGAGTGGTGAAGGAAAGAAAGAAGACATGAAAAAGAGAGACACAGAAGAAAGAAGAGGCCAACTACTTCGACATTAATGCCACCATCGCCGATAACGTTTTTTTTTCTACCTGTAACGACAGCAACAACGTTGTCAATGAATTTACAAAGACGATGTCGCCAGTGGCAGAATACAAGGACAAAAATAATGCAGCCATTTTTGCTATTATCATTTGCGAAATTGATATTGATTATCCTCAACATTGACGGCCTTTGCTGTTACCATCAGGATCATGACTGAGGTGTTAATCATAAAAATTCCGAGGCAGTTCACCACGACGATGATAAGGATGGTTGCTGTTTCCGACTATTACCTATTTACATAATTTTTTTTTACAATAATGTCCACCCTGTACAAGGCCCTTCGAGATAGAGGGCAACAGACTAAGAGACACAGTTCATTTGGACATGTGGGGAAAATAACGATTGACCCTAGACTTGAACAGGTTAAGATTGTAGTGATCGCGGAAGCATTCCCTTGGGAGTCGGTTCTACAAAGCAGCGGTTCGTGAAAAGAAATTGCTTAAGTGGAACTTACACCTTATCAATGCAATACAAAGGGAATGAGGGTGGTTTGCTAGAATGGGTGGGGCAGGGTGGTTCTTAGCCTTGATAGTTAGAACTGGGGGAACTAAGGAATGTCGTTCGCCTGAACACTTTCCATACAAATGGCAATAGAGCAGGGAGAGGCTTGCGACGTTTCGTTTGTGGGTAAGGGTTTTTAGGATGGGAAATAATTCATCACCCACAAGGACGCGGACGAAATGGGAAATAGAGAAGGATGTTATACTTATGACGAAGATCATCTGGTTGATGAATATTTCACGTAGATAGATCTGACTGCCTTAATTATGGAGTCTAATTAAAAAACTCATCTTGTCGGGGTGGGGATATGAGATTAAGTCAACTCGATGTATGGCACTGGTAACAAGCAAATTAATAAACGTGCCCTAAATTTATCGCTTTGTGCCACGGAAATCTAAGTCGTGTAAATGTTGCGATGTATCATTTTGTTTTTTTGTTTTTTTTGTTTTGTTTTTTTTTGGCGGGGGGGTACGGTGTATCAACCTGAAAGGGTCATTTAATGCCGACAAAATTTTTCCTGGTGGTAATATTTTTTTTCTTCAAAAATGTATAGCTGGTAATCTTTTTTTTCAAAAATGTATTCCTAGCAATAATTTTATTTACAAAATATTTCTCGTATTAACCATATTTTTACACTTTCATTGTGTTTTGAATCAGGTTTAGAGTCAACTATTTTCCCATAGCTGGGACCCTAACAGATGCTACCACCCCGGGTTAGGGTGGACCTGGGAACAGCAGCAATTAAGAGGTGGTTCCACTCTCCTGAAAACCTGATCAGAGGCCTTGCTGTTGGACGTAGTTTATTGTCTTACCAGGACGTGGATGTAGTTTATAGTCATATCCAGGATGAGCGATGTATCAAAAGTATTTTATTTTTTAACCTTTCGAGAGTTCCTGTGTGATTATTTTCACTCCCCCAATATGGCAATGAATAAATGCTGAACAATTTCCTCAGTAATGGAGAAGAGACTCTAAGCAACAGAAATGTCGTTCTATAGAATGATGCTGAGAATATCATGGACTGAACATGTGAGCAACGATGAGGTTTTAAGGAAAAAAAGAAATAAAAAGGACAATTACCGTAAATTGTGGCGTACTAAAAGTCGATCTACCCTTCAGGTCAACCTTCAAACATACAGCAAGTGACCAGTGTCCCAAAATTTAGGCCTACAGGTAAATGATGTTAGGCTACAGTATACGATAACGTGTGCCACAACTACATAAAATCACACCTACCTGTATATTGAGACACTAACACTAATATCATCGTTTACATTTAGTGTATCAGCGGTTAGACGCGATGTAGTATTAATACAATACTAAATTTCTGTTACTATTTTATATTTATTTATAGGTTTTAGTGGGACATATTTGTGGGGCTACAGTAAATGGTGTACAGTAATTTTTAGGAGTGCAGCCCCACTTGTTTACAAATGGTGGTAAATGCTTGCGTTTTATATCCGCCATATAAGTCGACTTGTACGCCGTAATTTACAGTATACACAAAATACGAAAGTGAGAGATGAAATTTCTGTGTCTCGTATTGAGAAGGGAAGGTTTGGAAAATGTAACACTCAGAGGGCAAATCGAAATAAAAATAGACAGAGGGAAACGGCAGGTAACCTATCTGATGTGCTTTCGTGAACGGACGGCATAACGAGTGGGAGAAATGGAAAAAGGTAAACGTTGTTATTATTATTATTATTATTATTATTATTATTATTTCCTTTGATTTCTGTTATATACTCATTTCCTTCCGGGTCCCAACCACAGACCTAAGCTCAGAATTGGCATCATGATATTTTCCATTGAACATTTTTGTAAAAACATAAAATTAAAAATAAAACAACCTAACATCACGCACATTTTACATTAATAAAGCCCTTCATAAAGTGTAAGCTGTACTTGCGAGAACAATTTTTTTTTTATTTCTTTAAGGCATGAGCTACTGGAGATTCCTTCAATGAGTCTTTCTAGAACATTTTCCAATTAAACCATGGACCCCAACTACAACTGAATGAGATGCATTTTTTTAGATTTCCATTTTAAGATGCTTGCATTTTTATAGATGTTTTAAAGATCTTCAAAGATACATTAGAGATTGCAGGAATTCCCATGTCAATAAAGAAACACATTTTGTCTTTGAGATCTTTAATCACAATGTCAGGGTGATTAACTTTGATTGTTCTTGTCTGTGTATATTGTAAAGCCCCATAAAATTGTTACAGGTCTGATTTCCGTAACCGGGTCTTGGTGCTGTTCATACCAATTTCTTGCAATTTCCTTTTCGTAAGTATTGCAGATTTTCCAGTGCCAATATTCGCCAATTCTGTCGTTTTATATCCGCGCAACCTGATACAAGATGATCAATTGTTTCTGGATATTTATCTGCATTTTGGACTCACGCGATTTTTCATTATGTGTGCTTTGTAATTTCTAGTTAGCATGCATTGGTCCTGTCTAGTTAGCAACTAGATTATTATTATTATTATTATTATTATTATTATTATTATTATTATTATTTGTTACATATTACTTCATAAACCGAACAAATACTTGATCGTTTCGAAAAAGAAATTTGGTAAAATTAAAATTGTTAATATGTTTGCCTTATAATATCAGTCCTCCTACATAGCAATGAATGCTGGACAATTTCCACACAGATGGAGAGGTGACTTGAGGTAACAGAAATGTGGTTCTACATAAGGATGCTGGGGATATCATGGACGGCGCGTGTAAACAACGACAAGTTCTTAAGAAAAATGGAAATAAAAAAGACACATACTCAGAAATCAGAAATATAGCTGAAATTTCTGGGACACAAAATGAGGAAAGAAGGCTTGGAAAATTAGATACTCACATGACATATCGAAAGCAAGACGGAGAGACGGAGTCAGCAGGCCACCTACCAGATAAGCTTATATAAATGGATGAATGGAAAGTAGCAGGGATTGTACAAGCCAACATTACTAAGCTACAAATGATAGGATGCTGTGGAGAACTATAATTTCCTGTGCCCTAAAAGCTCATAGATGATTATTATTTTATTAGATTATTTGTTTT